ACAGCCTAAACAATTACCTCAGCGCCCAATCAAAATTAGTGCATGGAAACTTGCAAAATTGGATTCTAATGAGGCAGCTAAGGTAGCTGCAAAAGCTATAAAGCTTCTTCATCTATTATTTGTCCCATAAATTCTGGACGCCATCCATGTAGCAGCGTTCATTTGTCTAGTAGTAATGTGAGCGGAAGAAGCAATCCAATAAGCATTGATCAAGGGTTTCCCAGCAGAAATGCTAGGGCAGATACATCAAGATTGTCTCCTTCCAAGAGCACATACCCTCCAAGCCTCGCGAGCAGAGATGACATGGAATCATGTGTTCACAGTGTTGTAACTTCAGCAGCCCTCAAAATCCCAATGCTCCCCACTCTTCATTAGTGCAGCAAAGTTCAAATAGAGAACATGTGAACCCTATATACCAAACTTGAACCAGTCAGATTCATTCGACAACCAAGCAAAGTAAAGCAAATCAGAATGCCATACAAGAAAATGCTGCAGGATATCATACAAGAACACATCCAGTTGCCCCCAGAAAACTCAAAAACTTCAGTATTTTGGGATCCAGAGCTGGGGATTTTCTCTTCTTCGTCCAGAAGTTCCAGCGCTTCACAAGTTCCTGGAACAGAACTTCTCTATACTGGTCAGTCAATATCCTTTGGTGGTCCTCTCATGAATGACCAACACTATCGAGGAAGGCAGCAGCTGGCCTGAATAGAGGTTCAGCTGTGAGTCATTTTCGACAGGGTAGAGCGCAGAGGAGAGGCCAGCTGCCTGTGTTTGCTCCTAGTGATCCTCATCAAAACCAGTTATCTTCTTAATTTCCTTGACACCACAAACACTGATTTAGTTCCTCTCAGGTGATAAAGAGCTAGTATATTTTTTCTGGGTGAAATTTTCTTTGAAGTTGTTTCCCTTCTTCTTCAGCTTATGAATACATGACCCATGAATCATGATATTGCTGATAAAGGAAAATACAGTGCAGAAATCTAACTAAAATGTAGCATAAGATATTAAAGAGTTATTGGAAGCTAACATGCAGGGGTGGGGATTAACTTATACATTTGTGAGTCTTAATCAAATTCTCAATCATTCATTTTAAATTTTAAACAATTGACGCAGCACTTGAGTTACTATATTTACTCCAAATATTTTAAGTGGTTGTGAATTTGCGAAAGTCTTTGTGTGTAAGATGATCTCATTTCCTTTTATTAGCCGAATTTAAATTTTATTGAGGATGGGACAAGTGAAGAAATGTATAATATTGAAATATAGGCAATTTGATACTCGGAGCCATCAATTGTCGTTGTAGAATAGTGGTGAGTATTCCCGCTTGTCACGCGGGCGACCCGGATTGGACCCTAGCAACGGCGACTCTTCGCTCTTTCTTTCTACTATTATTATTATTATTATTATTATTATTATTATATACCAATAGATGGTGTACTTAAACTTATCTTATTAACCTTTACAATTTAATCTCGTTCACACACCTATTTAGTCAACTCAAGAAAAGGAAAAACAAGTCATTATTTTAACTCAAATGATCCATGTCAAATGTCTTATGCACTCTTTGAGACAAGAAAATACCCATAATTTTAATTTATAAAAGCTTTGTTTTGCACAATGCAAAAGCAGATTTTTTTTTTTTTTCTAATTCTGCCATGTTTCCTATGATAGAAAGTTCTTGAATGATGCTACATGACTTTTTAGGCCTGAAACAATAATTTCTTCTCTTTTTTTTCCTCAAGCAAGTTAATGAAATTAATTGATAAAAATAACCATATTGCAAAGTTTTAAAGGGAAAATATATTGAGATTCTCTATATTTAATTGTTCATATTTATTACGGATAATATCTTCTTGTATTAATACTATTAACTTTTTAATGTTTTATATTTATTTGTTTAGTCCATATGACTCTGCATAGACAGGATCTAAATTTTTTTCATCTTAATAAAACTATACAACTCTTATTCACCTCCCCCCCCAAGGGCTAAGGACCTAATTGCTCGGTTTTAAAGATTTTGGATGAATTTTATTATTTTCAACAGAAGCAGACGCATTGACCTAATTTTTTATTTTTGTTGGAGGAAAGTAAAGTGTTTGACTAAATTGAAAGGGGCAAATTGGAAATTGGATTGCAGAAAGAACCGCCAATCTTTCCTCTCCATCCATTCCCGCTTCAATACCGTTGCAACATTCATTCATCAGAAAAACACAAAGTCGTTCCAACTAACTTTTTCTCCCTGCCCATCAAATTCCATATGCATGGAACCAAATTTTGCAGCAAAGATTCCAGCTTTTAGGCCGATGTGTTGTGGTGAATGAAGGGTTTTTATTTTATTTTATTTATTTATTTATTTCCGAAGCATCCTAGGATATTATTTAGTTTAGGGTCCGTAAATTAATTGTTAGTGAAAAATCAAAAATGTCGGGAGGAGACGCTCCTGGAGCTAGGGAGCTCGATCAGACGCCCACATGGGCTGTAGCCGTGGTTTGTGCTGTAATCGTCATTATTTCCATCATTTTGGAGAAGCTTCTTCATCACATTGGAGAGGTAATTAATATCTAGAGAATGGAAATGGTTTCATTTTCCTATTTATGTTGGAACAATATTATTTTTGAATTTTCGAAAGGTTGAATCTTTTATGCTCATTTTGATGACCCAATAGATCGAACATGTTCAGATGTCTAGAGGGTGTTTGTTTTAATTCTCCAAACATGCTTTGTTTTTTATGTTTCTTTTTGTCTCTACCTTGTCTGTAGGACTTATATTGCTACTTCTATTTCAGTTGTTTCATGAAAAGAAAAAGATGGCTTTGGTTGAAGCTCTTGAAAAAGTTAAGGGAGGTAAATTTCAAAACTTGTTTTCCTATGTTCACCTTCTCATGCTCTCATTCTTTCATTCTAGGCCAATACTTATCCTAAATTTCTTCCATTTCCAGAGCTTATGGTGTTGGGATTCATTTCTTTGCTCTTGACGTTTGGACAGAGTTATATTTCCCGAATATGTATACCTGTAAAGCTTGCAGATACAATGCTATATTGTCCCAAAAGAGTTGCTCATCAAGAAATAACTCCACTTCATGAGCCTCCCTCTATTGGTGATCATGATCCCCCATCTATTGGTAATCATGAGCCCCCACCTATTGGTAATCATGAGCTACCTAGTCAAGAAGACAAGGGTGCTGCTGAGCATCATCGGAGGCTGCTATGGTATGAACATAGATTTTTAGCTGGTAGTGGTGGTGGTGAAGCTGCAGGATGCAAACCGGTAAGTAATTTTTCCCTTTTGTAAGAATGTTGGGCTAAACAATTAATGATATTCTAGTTGGTGAGTGACTCCCAACCCTTTTCCTAAATAGTGCAGTGAAAATTGTATGGTTTAAATCTTTGGCAATTCCTTTACAAGTCTATTAATCATCACTTCATACCTATTCAAAATTGTTGAGTGAGTTTTAGGATTTTTTTTTTTTTTCTAATGTGTTAAATCCTCCTTAATCCTTATAAAAAGCAACTGAAACCTGTGTAGATGGTCTGTATTGGGCCAAATGGAAAAAGGACCATATCAAAAAACCAACCACCAAGGAAACTAGTTGATTCCAAAGACCTTATCTGCTTATACAAATACCCGTGTGCCTTTATTTGATGTTTGAAACATCATAAGGTAATTATTATGCAAATTAAGATGGACAGCAAACGACTTAAATGTGCACCTTACTTCAAAGTCACTTTTTAACTCTATATATATTTTTAGTTCCTTTCTGTTATTGCTACATTAAAGCCCTATCTGATATTACGTTTCTTAGTTCAAGGTTGAAGATTCTACAAGTGATTGATTGGAACTGATGCAATTGTAAATTTTGTTGCAGGGACATGTGCCACTCATATCCGTAAATGGATTACATCAGTTGCACATTTTCATATTCTTTTTAGCAGCGTTTCATGTGATATATAGTGCCATAACCATGACACTTGGAAGATTAAAGGTCAAAATAATTTCAAGTTTATTAGCCCATTGATGAATGGAGTACAATTGTTTAATTTACAAATCTCTTATATGTAGATACGTGGTTGGAAGGAATGGGAACAGGATGCTTTGAAGGAGCAAGAAGGTATATATTTTTATGTTGGACCATTCTTTTGCTCCACCTTGATGCTTGCTTTTACAATACGCCGTGCTTTAGTTCTGCTCACCTAGGTGCTTCTTATTTAGGTGCTTCAAGATTTAGGCTCACCCATGAGGATTCCTTTGTGAAAAACCATACCAGTTCGTGGGCACAAACCAAAGTCTCGTTTTATTTAGTAAGATGTCATTAATCCCATTTTTGCAGTTTGTTTCTTCAATTCCCATCTTAAGTAGATGTGATTTTTATCATTTCAATGGTAACAATGTAGTTATTCAATAAGATATATTTCAACTGTCATGTCAAAGTATATATTGTTGAGTTTTACTCTTTATCTATCAAATTCCTTTCTTTATACAAAATATAGCAGAAACCTTGACACTGTAAACTAATACAAATTGGCCAAGGTGGCTACAGGCCATTAATTTTCTCTTTATTGATTGTAATATCCCTTAAAATATCATTTCTTTCAGCTATGCTTCTTCAGGCAATTCTTCAGGTCTGTTCGGAGGGCCGACTATTTGACCTTGCGGCATGGATTCATTAGTGTAAGTTTTCTAAGCGCAAGAATGTTAACATTGTGTTTATACTATTTATTATTGAATTTGGCTGTTTTATTCTAATAGGTTCATTTAGCACGTGGAAGTAAGTTTGACTTTCAAAAGTATATCAAAAGATCATTAGAGGATGACTTTAAAGTTGTCGTGGGAATCAGGTAAGGTTCTGCTCTGTTATGTCCGTGTACGTATGTATTGGAACTAATGTGAGTTCTGGTTGGCAGTTTTTCCATGATTGAACTAATATCATGTCATGATAATTCTCTTTTTGTATCTTTCCATATTCTTTGTACTGACTAATTCATGGTGCTGGCAGTCCACTATTATGGGCTTATGTGGTGGTCTTTCTTCTTCTCGATGTGCATGGTTAATTCTTTCTTCTTATTTCCCTTTACTTCTTCCTTTGATCTCTACTCAATACATGCTTTCCTCATTTAAATTAAACTGAGCAATTCATGTTATCTGTTTTACTATTTCAGGATGGCATACCATGTTCGTTTTCTCCATGATTCCTCTAGTGGTAAGTAATTATGTGTAAAAAGAAAATAATGTCTTTTTGCATATTATTTGTTTATGTAAAGGGTTAACCATTGGATTTCTGATGAAGGTAACCTTGGCAGTTGGAGCAAAACTTCAGAAAGTTATAGCACAAATGGCAATTGAAATCAAAGAAAAACATGCTGTAATTCAAGGGATGCCTCTTGTGCAAGTCGATGACAGACATTTTTGGTTTGGTTGGCCTCAGTTAGTTTTAAATCTCATCCATTTTGTACTATTCCAGGTATTGTACTGGATCCTCCATTTCCTCCCCCCACTCTATTTTAAAATTGTCTACATGTTAGCCTAAATGTGTCACTTGCCTGTTTGAGTGAAAATCTTAGTCTCAACTAATTGTAATTTGATTGCAATTAACCCTCATCCTATGCTTCTCCCCTTTCCAAAATCATAAGTACCGTGCTTTGCATTCATATCTTCAGCTCCTTGCTTATCTGACAATTATGTATGTATCTTTTCACCAGAATGCATTCGAGATAACTTATTTCTTCTGGATATGGGTAATGTAACTGTTCTCTTTTTTCTCCTCATGGCTGTCTGTATCTTTGCTGATTTTAACACTTCCTCCTGTTACAGTATGAGTTCGGCTTGAGATCATGTTTCCATCAGGATTTCAATCTAGTTGTTGCAAGAGTTTTTCTCGGGTAAGACACAATTTTTTCGTCATTTTTCCTCTTGATTCATGCTTATGGACATTGTTATTTATGCCAATGAAAATATGACAGGGTAATAGTCCAGTTCATGTGCAGCTACATCACGCTTCCTCTCTATGCCCTTGTCACTCAGGTACATATATAATTCCTATTGTTTTCTGAATTTAAATCTTCAAACAATCAGCTAATCTTCCAATATTATGGGAACATTATTCAGATGGGATCAACCATGAAGAGGTCAATCTTTGATGAACAAACCTCCAAGGCTCTGAAGCAGTGGCACAAGAAAGCTGTAAAGAAGAAGGGTGATGGACGACCAGAACAAGGCCGTACTAGAACACTGGGTGGAAGTCCCCCTGACTCACCAGATGGTTCCTCACCTGCACCTCATAGAGCACATAAAGAAGGAACTGATGTTGAAGCATCCCAAAATGGGACAGCAAACATCATGGCTACTGTGGACCTCAAGGGAGGAGGTCAGCGAGACCTCCTATCCAATCCATGAACATCCTAAACCAAGACGGTGAATATGGTAAAAAATGCAACATTCTTATTCCCACTTCCTGGGTAACATAGGTATTAGTTTTCTTCCTGTTACATGCCTAGTTGCCAAATTCAAAAGATTAAGAAATATGCACCTCGCGGCTACTTTCTTCTTTTCTCTGATAGATCACATCAAATACAAGAAAAATGTTTGTAGGATATTAGGTTTACAATTACACTGATGTAAAACTTTTCTTAGCCCCGTTGTGTGTATAAAAAGGCATAGCTGAAATGTATGTATAATCTTACAATTATGTTATACCTTTGTATATTTGTAAATTGCATATGTTGGAGTTTTCTGAGGTTAATGAAATATCAAGCCAAGAGACTGTTTACCATTTAGAGGAAAAGAAAAAGAAAATGAGAATTTTACTATTCCTAAACTTCACTCATCAATTAATAATCTTAAAACAAAAGTTTAATTTTAATCATTGTTAAAAAAATGACTCTTTTTTTTTTTTAAATCTTGGCTTATATAACAGGAAACAAATATTCTTTCATCCTTTAACCTACTTTAGATATTATACAACTCGAATTCATGTCTCTTACTTCCACATAAAAAATATAAATATTGAGTTATTTAAGTAAAAAAAAAAAAAAAAAAATTAGATATTATACAACTCGAATTCATGTCTCTTACTTCCACATAAAAAATATAAATATTGAGTTATTTAAGTAAAAAAAAAAACAAAAAAAAAAAAAGACTTCCAATTCCTCTAAATTATTTCATCTAATTTGGAGTTTCATGTTGTGTTCTAATTGCAAAAATAATGGAGGCTTAGGCTCTATCTATTATAATTTTAGTTTTAAGTTTTGAATTTTTTTTTTATATATATCTAGTAACAATTTAAATATAACACTTGTTACTAAATATTAAAACATTAAAACCAAAAATTCAAAACCAACAACCATACTAAAAATAGAGCCTTAATTAATAACGTATAAATTAGGAGGGTGAAACTGAGAAACTTGTACAAGATTGGGGAGGGATTTCAGAGTTAGTCAATTTAGGGAGGGGCGGCGTCGATAAATGACGGGCAGTTAGGGTTATAACTTTGAAGGAAGGCCACTAGATTCTGTGAGTGCAGAAAGAATGGAGACTTCATTGCGATATGGTGGAGACTCCAAAGGTTTAAAAATCCATGCCAAGCAGAAGCTTCCACTCCCAATGGTCTCCAATGCCTTTTTGCAGGTTCGTTTTGAGATTAATTTGCATTTCTCTGAATTCAGTGACTTAATCTATTTTAAGGGAGAAGCTGAGAGCTTATATAGGCTGAAACAACTGAAACTTACGCAGATTAAGTGTGTTAAACTGTGGAAAGACTGCTAATTTGGATTCTACAAACTTGACCATGAATTGGGTAGATTTTTGTTAGCCAGACAGAAGAGTGGTAAAAGGTTAAATTAATGCAGGTATTGGGATAGCATTTTATTCTCGCATTCAATTCTTAGTAGCTGGGTCAGGGTGGTGTGAGAAAGTAAATGAATAAATCTATGTTTCCTTGTTGATTTCTCATTCCCATATGTCATTTTGCTGACCCTTAATCAAGAAGTTGTTGGTATGATTTTTGTTCTTCATAATGTATGCCAAAATCGCTTTTTTACGGACCTTAGGCTGCAACAGAGCTTGAATCATTGTTATGATGTAATCATGTTTGAGATTTTATTTCTAGTTGTTTCCTCATTTCTTCTGTCTGTGTGTTAGGTTCATGGAGAGCTAGATACAACAATTGGAGAACCAAGTTATCTTTGTGTTATGATGAGATGCTTCTACCCTGATGTAAGTGTTTTCCCCAAAGTTATGCTGTTAGTATTTTACTTTAAACTTGATTTCTTTTTTCAAAATTTGTTAATATGCATCAAATTTGTCTGTAGATATTAGCAAGTCTTGGCGTAGGATACCATCATGATAAACTTGTGAAACTGCCCCTTAGCATCCGTGGCAAAAAGGCTTTTGAGGTGATTAATCGTGATAATAGTGCAGTAAGCTTCAATATCAAGGGAAGATGTCATCTTGACAAGCAATTTAAAAAGGTTAGTCTTTACTTTGTGTGTTTAGGACATTTATTAATTGTTACAAGGCACTTCCATGTGGAGATTGAAGCCAGTGACACTTGGTCATTGCGACTCAGATCTTAATGAGGGCACTTTCTTCAATCAAATAGTGTTAGTTGTTTGTTTTGCACACTTTTCTTTCTCCATCTACTTCTTACATTTTTTTCCCCTCCCATGTGGAAAGATGTAAATAAGGTTTGTTTATGTTTACTAAGGTTTCCTTTGCAAATGAATACAGTTTATAGCCTAACTTTCTACTAACATATGCAACGACCATGACAGAGGAAACCAAGAGGAGCTGCAGAATTTTCATGGAGCATATTGAATTTCCAGAAAGACCAAGATGTTAGACTCAAAATTGGCTATGAAGTATTTGACAAGGTAATTGTCCTAAAATAACACATGGACATCTAGGTTTATTTCACTGGGGGAAGAAAGTATTCTAACGCTCTGTTTATTTTTACATTTTTTTTTTAATGGCCTCACATTCTTAATGGGTTTTATTTATTTGCACCAACAGTGCATTCTTGATAGTGTATGATTGATGTTGTGCATGCATGAGAGAGAGAAGGATGGGGGTGGGAGAAAGACTTAACTTGTAGTTGTGAATTTGGATTTCAGCGTTAGTCATCGGTTATACTTCTGGAAGTCAGATGTCTAGGTATCAATTTCAATATTCTACCACATTTTGCAATCGCCATAATTCTAATCTAACCATTTAGTATTATAACCTTTACTAGCAAGAATGAAATATGCCATTTTCCATTTGCATGCCGTTCTTGTTGCAACTTGTAATAATTTCTGATTTTGCATTAATCTAGATTAATGGATAAATCATCAATTTTTTGTCTTTCAAGCTATTTGTCCTTCTCGTCTCATCAAACTTTTGCCTATCAGGTTCCGTATCTGCAGATTAGGGAAAACAATTGGACATTCAATGCTGACATGAATGGGAAATGGAATGTAAAATTTGATTTGTGAAGAAACCTTACTGTTGACATGTTTCAGAAGTCAGACATGTAATTGTGGTTTGTGGATACCATATTCAGTTCTCTGTGGAGTCTGATTATGGAACTCCATTTTCAATGACATGTATGAGATCTTTGGTCTCAAACCTTAGATTGAACATAAAGGAATGTTCGTTGCGTTGGTATCATTAATTTTCAGTTATTTGTAGTTTGAACCTATTGTGATAATGGAAATTACATGGTACAACAGCTAAGCCAGGAAATCAAATGCCGTTAGTTTCATAAGTTAGGGGTGTTATTCTTCCTTTCGATTGCGTTATCTCTCTTCTTCCCGTTCCTGAATCAGTCTGCTTAGTTTTGGTTTTTCATAACCTAATAAGCCATCACCATGGATTGGGTCATTGAAGAATAGAAGTGATATGGAATTAGTATTAATTGAGGGGAAAAGGATAAATTTGGAATTGTACAGTACTAATTTAGAATGAGTTGTACAGTAATTAAAGATTTCAGGACTATTTTTAGAAATTATTTTCTAACCCATTCTAAATTGGGCAGGCTATCAACATACCCTTAAAGTTTCACATATTTTTAGTTTAATTGATTATTATATCCTCAAACTATATTTTTTCTCAAATTTTGGGAATTTTTTCATTTCTTAAATAAATTAAAAAGTATAATAGTTAATTAATATACAAAAGTATTGTGTTTTTGATACGTTGAGATTAAAAATTGAAGTTTTAACTTGACTAAAAATACAAATAATTTTGACTAGAACACATAGTTAATGGTAAAATGTATTGTATTAGTAATCAAAGTTGTGGCACTAGTACCACCCCTCTAAATTAGAATTTTGTTTCTGAAGTCAGTCTCTTTTTTTTTTTTTTTTT